TGGTGGGGTTCAGAGTGCTCTTTGATTGTAGGTGAACTTTAAATCCCAGCAACTACAACTCCCAAATGTCTATTTTCCCCAAACTCCATCTGTGTTCACATTTGGGCATATTGAGTATTTGTGCCAAGTTTGATCCAGATCCATCATTGTTTGAGTCCACAGTGCTCTCTGGGTGTAGGTGAACTACAATTCCAAAACTCAAGGTCAATGCCCACCAAACCCTTTTACTGTTTTCTATTGGTTTTGGAAGTCCTGGGTTTCAATATTGGTTCAATTCCATCGTTAGTGGAGTTTGGAATGCTCTTTGATTGTAGGTGAACTATAAATCCCAGCAACTACAACTCCCAAATGTCTATTTTCCCCAAACTCCATCTGTGTCCATATTTGGGCATATGGAGTATTTGTGCCAAGTTTGATCTAGATCCATCATTGTTTGAGTCCACAATGCTCTCTGGGTGTGGTGAACTACAACTCACAAACTGAAGGGCCCACCAAACCCTTCTACTGTTTTCTATTGGTCTTGGAAGTCCTGGGTTTCAAGTTTGGTTCAATTCCATCGTTAGTGGAGTTTGGATGCTCTTTGATTGTAGGTGAACTATAAACCCCAGCAACCACAACTCCCAAATGACAAAATCAAATTTTTGAGAGATGATCACTCATTGGGTTGTTAGACGTATTCTGTTCAAATTTGGTGTCAATTTGTCCAATGGTTTTAGAGTTATGCTAATCCCACAAATGAACATTACATTTTTATTTATATAGATTTAGGGGAAAAGTTGGAGGAGGAGACGAGCGAAACCGGGTCTTTTTAAGAGCATCTGAAAAAGTGGGATGGCAGAGGATTAATGAGGATTAATTGGACTGTCCTGGTCAAATTGGAACCATCAGAGGTTATTCTGTGTGGACACATCAATAAGGTAATCAATATATATATATTTTCCTTTGCAGGTTTGAGGCCAACTACAGCCTGTGTGATCCATTGTCATGGCTGACACCATTTTTGGCAATGGGAACGACAAGTGGGTGTGTCCAAATGACAGGCAGCTAGCTCTTCGAGCAAAGTAGGTGTCCTTTTCTTTCGCTCTTTTTGTTTATTTTTATTTGGGTTATTTATTTATTTGTCGTGTCAGAGCAACCAGTTCATTATATTACATTTCTAACAGAACAAAGCAAACAAACAGAGAAAATACAAAATGTGTGAGTTTGGTAGTTGATTAAATGTCCTTTGACCAGTATCTGGCCACTTGGAGTACTTTTGGTGTTGCTGCAAGAAGGTCCTCCATGGTGCATGTGGCTGGGCTCAGGGTGCACTGCAGCAGGTGGTCAGTGGTTTGCTCCTCTCCGCACTCGCATGTCGAGGATTCCACTTTGTAGCCCCATTTCTGAAGGTTGGCTCTGCATCTCGTGGTGCCAGAGCACAGTCTGTTCAGTGCCTTCCAAGTCGCCCAGTCCTCTGTGTGCCCAGGAAGGAGTCTCTCATTTGGTATTGTAGCAGACCAGTTGTCCCAATTGGGCTCCCAGCCAAGGGCTTGGCTAGGCTTCTGGTGGGCGAGCGCAGGCAGGATCAAAAAGACGGACAACGTGTTTCATCCAAAAGAAAGCAGTTTACTAGTTCATGCAGCTGCCTGGTCACCTCCAACGCAACGAGGCGTTTCTGAGGAAGCGACCCCCTCTGGTGGGCTAAGCGCCCCTTATATACAGTTTGGAAAAGCGAAAGTTTCATTTCCCTGAAATCAGGTGCTTTCCGGGAAATCACATGGTTCAGGGGCTGCACCCCGCACTCAACCTTTGCACACGGGACCCCCCCTCACCTTCCTTATTTGGTAACACATCCGCCTTATTCTCATTTCCACAACAATAAGGCTGCCTCAGTATCAGCCATTGTTTGAGGTTCTGGGTTTGAGCCTGCCACTTTTGGACTCTCGCTTGCTGAGGTGTTCCAGTAAGTGTCTCCGTAGATCTTAGAAAACTATTTCTTGATTTAAGTCGTTGACGTGCTGGCTGATACACAAACAAGGGATGAGCTGGAGATGTCACTGCCTTGGTCCTTTCACTATTGGCTGCTACTTCCCGGCGGATGTCAGGTGGTGCAATACCGGCTAAGCAGTGTAATTTCTCCAGTGGTGTAGGGCACAGACACCCTGTGATAATGCGGCATGTCTCATTAAGAGCCACATCCACTGTTTTAGTGTGGTGAAATGTGTCCCACACTGGGCATGCATACTCAGCAGCAGAGTAGCATAGCGCAAGGGCAGATGTCTTCACTGTGTCTGGTTGTGATCCCCAGGTTGTGCCAGTCAGCTTTCGTATGTATGTTCCACACTGGGCATGCATACTCAGCAGCAGAGTAGCCAAGCACAAGGGCGGATGTCTTCACTGTGTCTGGTTGTGATCCCCAGGTTGTGCCAGTAAGCTTTCGTATGGTATTGTTTCTAGCACCCACTTTTTGCTTGATATTTAGGCAGTCCTTCTTGTAGGGCGGATGTCTTCACTGTGTCTGGTTGTGATCCCCAGGTTGTGCCAGTAAGCTTTTGTATGATATTGTTTCTAGCACCCACTTTTTGCTTGATATTCAGGCAGTTCTTCTTGTAGGTAAGAGCACGGTCCAGAGTGACTCCCAGGTATTTGGGTGTCCTGCAATGCTCCAGTGGGATTCCTTCCCAGATAATCCTAGGAACCCGGGATGCTTGTCTGTTCTTGAGATGAAAAGCACATGTCTGTGTTTTAGATGGATTAGGGATCACTTAGGATAGTGATTATTGTCTATTTGTGCACATTTCTGTTTTTGTTTTTACTGTTGATACGGTCAGTGGACTAATCAATAAACTTTAGTTGCATTGCCACGTTCAAGTTGAGGTTGAAGATGGTACAGTTTCAGTCCTTCCCCTAAAATAAATATCAGCCATCTGCCACTCGTAAACTCCTGTTTTCATTTGCGAGATAAAACAATATTAATTTGTCCTGCAGAGCAATAATAAAGAGGGAGATTATTAAAGAGGAAAGACTGAGCGGGAGAACAGGTGGGGAGCTCTTGAACCTTGCAGAGTGTATCTCTGCAGCATAAATAAATGTTTGGCATGGAGCAAAATCCAGATTTCCTTTTAAACTCGAATCCAAGCTTTACAATACCGGAATGAGGGCAGAATAGTAATTTAGGATACATACAGATGTGTACCTAGGGGCCCCCTGGTAGTGCAGCGGGTTAAACCACTGAGCTTTTGAATGTCCTGACCGAAAAGGCTGGTGGTTCTAATCTGGGGAGCAAGGTGAACTCCCGCTGGGAGAATTGGAGGGTATGCAATCTCAGTCTGATATTTGGTGGGCACTTACGTGGGCCCCCTTGTGGCGCAGCGGGTTAAACTGCTGAGCTGCTGAACTTGCTGACCAAAAGGTTGGTGGTTCAAATCTGTTCGATCTTCTTTAATTAAAATATGGAATAGATACAAAGAAAGTTTCTATAAGAAAACACCAGTATGGCTATCCCCACTTGAAGCTTCCCAATAAGCTGGGTA